GCCACGATAATAACTATGCAATGCTACATGTATTAATTACATGAACATGCTAGTGTGTAAAGTAATGGGTATGCAAAAGTACAACAAACAAACATGAGATAGGTATAATGATGTAGTCAAAGGAATTTCACGTGCATATTGGGACAATACAATAGCCTACCTTGAAATAATCGAGGGTCTCGGGGTAAAAACTGAAATTTTACGTGCATCAAAAACTTTCATCCATAGCCTATAGTTAGGCTCTCGAGTATTGGGCACGATCTAGAATTTTAAGTGCATCAGATACGTACCCTGCCAACAATATTCGAATATTACATCATGAAAGATCATCGTCATACTGCTAAAGTAACTAAAGTGTCCTGACAGTTTCTCGAGTGTCACAAAATGACTAGTTTTATTTCATCCTAACTTGCCTGATTTCTAGTTGTATTTAAAGTTATTATAGTTGTTTTTACTTATAGACATGTACTTAAAGCTTATATGACCTCAAAATCCCCAAATCCAAACACTTGAATCAATTGGGTAAAATTTACCTAATTTATGGCAATGGTATCGATAATGTACCAACGGTATCGATACTCACCTTGAGTATCGATACTGAAAATAACTTTGATATTTGGGAAAAACCTTTGGTACCAATACTCTTATGGGAGTATTGATACTCCTGCAGGTGGGTTTCGTTACTATCTCGAGTACCGATACCAAAAATGGCTTTGATATTTTGAAAAATACCTCAGTACCGATATTCATATGGTTAGTATCGATACTAAAAAAAGCTACTAAAATCCTTAAATATGCCCAGGTATCGATACCACCATATGAATATCAAAACCAGACCAACAATATCGATACTCTTTAGACAAGTATCGGTACTCGCCCTTTTCAAAACACTCTTATTTTACTCTCATGAAGAAATTAAGTATCGATATTGTTCTTCCAATATCGATACTCATGACCTGAAGTGCCCTATTTTGGTCACGAAAATGTGTCCTAAGTTCACCCATTCACCCACTAAGGCTAGTAAATGTCATTAGAGTCTTATTTGAGGTCTAAGAGGTCAAAATGAGTCACCTTTATTACTTACAAACAAAAAACATAGAATTTATCATGAAATACTCTAGCATGTTTCATGAACCTAACTTATTGTTTATGCACATTTAATGATTTACATGTGGTATGGACAAGTTAGAAACGTGTTACCTTGGTGCTAGGTTACTGAAAAACATCCCCAAATTACCCAAGGACTAACTTCTCCTTGCCCCTTGCCTTAGAACTTTCTCCTTTATCCTTCACTAATCAAGACAATGAAAATGAGTTGTTAACTCATTTTAGAACTTAGGGAAATACTAGAAACAATTTCTACAACCCAAATCTCCAAAAAAAAAAAGGACTGAAATCCTAAGGCCCCTTAAACCTCATTAAAGCCCACTTATGGCTAACACAACCAAACCTTGCAAATGGGGGCTTGAATTGAAGCTTGGAGGAAGTAGAATGTGGCTCTTACCTTGAAGGTTTCAAAGGGTTCTTGAAATCCTTAAAGTTTCAAACTTTGCTTGGCTTGTAGATGAAGAATGAAGATGAAGAGTGGAGAGGAAGAGACAAACAATGGGGTGAAAAAGAAAATGTAAGTTTTCAGATGTGATATCATCCCAATTAATGGGATTTTAGCCTTTGTTTTAAAAAATTGGTTATTTACTCATTTAGTCCTTGCTTTTACCTAAAACTCCTAACCAATAATTTGGGGTGTTACATATAATTTGGGATGAAATTGAAATATTTAAAAAGTTTGGGACCAATTTAGAACAAAGATCATAGTTTGGGGACTAATTTAGAATGAAGATCATAGTTTGGGGATGAAACTGAAATGTTCAAAAGTTTGAGGACTAATCTAAAATGATAGTCATAGTTTAGGTATGAAATTGGAATGTTTAAAAATTTAGAGACCACTTTAAAATAAGAATCAGAATTGAAGAATGTATGATGCAATTAATTCTTTAAATTTATTTATTTTAATTAGGAATGGTAGAACGACCCGAACTTGATGGGGAAACCCGAAACCCGGCTAAGTTTGGGTCATGTCGGGTTTGAATAATATCGGGTCGGGTCGGGTCGGGTCGGGTATCGGGGTAAATTCAGAGATTTTTTAGGGTTCAAGTTCGGTGCAAGGTATCCCGGCCCCGCCTCGCCTCGATTATATATATATATATATATATATATGTATATATATATAATATTTTATATTTTTTTTATAGTAATTATATATAATACAAACAAAACATTTAACCTAGGTTTCGAGGTTATATGAGATTTGATTATAAATAATATGTGTGCGCAAAGTTGGTTGTTGAATGAGATTTGAGGTAAGTCGGTTACACTATATTCTATATTAACTTGTATGTCATTTCCTTTTTGAATAATATTTATGTTAAAGGATAATTTATGTTATTTTGTTTATAGAAACTTGTTCGGAAGAGACCGAGGCATATTGTCGCTCTGTTAAATATGATTATGACGTGGATGAGGTAAATAATGTTTATAAAAACATTACTATTTTGGTAACATGCTTTTATAATTATTAAAGTAAAATTTGGTTGATTTATTGATAAATTTATCAATGTAAGGAGCTACCAAAGAAAGTGATAAAAGTGGCACGACGATTTTGGATGATTTTATTTGACTTAATATTACGTATGCATCTTCGTTGTATGATATCGGAACAAGTTTGTATTTAATTATGTATGTGTTTTATTTTGGAGTTTAGACAATTATTTAGAATTGGGTTTAAATTGTAAATCATGTAGACTAATTTTCCATTCTTTGTGATCGTTTTTTCTATTTTTTATGAAAACTACGGCTGCTCGGTTTTTCTCGGGTTCGGGTCGAGTTCGGGTACAATATTTCGAGTCGGGTTCGGGACGGTGCAAAAAAATCACCGATGGGGAACGAAGCATAGACGAGGATGGGGATTCATTTCGGGGACGGAGACGAAGAACAAAATCCGCCCCAAACCCACCCGTTGTCCTTCCTAATTTTAATATTATGTCATCATCTAATTGAAGGAAAATTAAATAATAAAGGAAGCCACAATAAACATAGTTGTGAGAGTTGAACTTGAGAATTGGTGAGCAAGCAACACTTGTTCAACCACTAATGCATCTTCCACATTTGTGTTTTATATACACGATAATATATATTTTTTATGTTTTAGTTAATGCCAGAATAGGAAAGGAAAAAAGAACAGAGGGATTCAAACCTACGCAATATAAGAAAAGTAAGAGAATCAAACCACTAAAACAAATCTTAAATTTGACAAATAAATGAATAAATTTCATATATATTTCATTAGATTGTGTAGTTCAAATTAACTTTAACTTAAGTTACATTAACATGATTAAAATCGAACATTATTGAAATTAACTTTAAATTTCACAATTTGAACCATACAATCTAATTAAAAAAACTGAAAGAAAATATTAATTTTTTTATAAAAAATAAAATTATTAATTAAATTAAAAAGATCCAATTTAAATCATATTATATTTTTCTTTTAATCATATATAAATTAATATTTAAAATATATATGACATTTATTCATCTATTAATCAAATTTAAGATTTGTTTCAGTGATTTGGTGCTCCTAAATTAGTTAATGGCCTAGGTACAAATTTCTCCATTGTTGTTTTCCTTTCCCTTTTTTGGCATTAACTACAGCATAAATTATATATATTATCGTGTAATATAAACCACAAGTTTGGATGTTGGCTGGACGCATGCTATCTTCCCTCTGGAACCTATGTCCGACTCCTTTTATCCCTTTTAATTGTGTATTTATTTGTTATTTGAATTTTTTTTCCAACAAGATGGTTACACGTGTCATTATTTGATTGGATAATAAATAATTAATATAAATATAAAATAATTGACAGATTAAATTTATTGAATTAAAATTAAGATTAAATTGATAGAATACATAAATATTAATGAATAAATATTTCATTATATCAATTTTGTTAACAGACACATCAACAATTCCGTCCAAAGTTAAGGGCAAGTGGTTTGATAGACATCATTTAAATATATAAGTGGTCTGATTGAAAAAATTAAAAGGTCAGTGACAAAAGTAAAAGGGGTATACAGTTGAGTGGTCATAGAATAGTTTATGCAAAATTTAGTTTAGTTCAAAGAAAGCCTCAATGGAAATTAAATGAAATAGTAAAAGGAAAATAGCGATGGACATTCTATACCGACTGGCTTTAGGTAAAAATAATTGTCATTCATTTTAGTATAGTTGGCGATTGGAGAGACGGTCAAGAAATTAAGCTTGTGAAGTTACGTAGGTGGGCGAGCGACCGCTGGACATCGAATAGTAACCTGAGGAGAACTGTGGATGCTTAATCAATGACTTGAGTAGCTTAGAAGTGGTTTAAATTTGATTCGATTAATATTTAATTTGAGTTTTATTGGAGATCTTAATAAATTAAATCAAATAGATTTTAACTAAATTCGATAAGTTCGTAAGTAATTCATTAATTTTAAAAAAAAAATTAATTATTATTAAAAAATATATTTTATTTAATAAATGAAAATCTAATTAATTATTACTAGTTTACTAATTTGTTAATAGACGGTAAGAAAGATGTTAAATTACTAATTATTAAACACTACTAATTATAGTTTTTAATATGTTAGTTTGATATATTTGTGGATTATTATTTTTGATGTAATATGTTAGTTTGGATAAATTTGTTAAAATTTTTTTTAACGAGTACGATTTGAGTAAAATTTTATCAAGTTTAACGAACAACGGGTCAAATCGAATAATAAATTTTTTTAACGAATACAGGTGGAATACTGATCAACTTTTGATCAACTTGCTAGATAAGCACCATTAATGAGTGCCATTTGGAGGTGATTGCATTAGGCATAGAGACCATTCTATAAATAGCGTGGCTGAACATCAAACAAACTACCATTACTTGAAAGCTAAGTATTGATTATAATCCTGCTGTGAAACAATAGCGTCTTCAGCTCTGACCGGTAAGCTTGAAGCCGATGTAGAGATCAAGGCTTCTCCCGAGCAGTTTCACGATATGTTCGCCAACAGACCGCACCACATGCACCATGCTTGCAGTGACAACTTTCAACTATCCGAATTACATGAGGGCGAATGGGGGAAGGTCGGCACCATCCTCACCTGGAGTTATGTGCATGGTATGCTACAATTATATAAACATAACAAACCCCATAATTCTTTGCCATGCTTCTCGACTGATTTCTTGCTCTTCCTGTTTGTTAATAATATCAAGATGGAAAGGCTAAAAAGGCGAAGGAGGTAATCGAAGCAGTAGACCCAGATAACAACTCGATCACTTTCAGAGTGCTGGAGGGAGATCTAATGGAAGAGTACAAGAGCTTTGTATTCAACTTTCAAGTTTCCCCCAAGAGCGAGGGTGGTGGAAGTGTAGTGCACTGGACTTTGGAGTACGAGAAGCTGCACGATGGGATTGAGCATCCAGCGACTTTGCTGGAATTCACCAAGGACGTGTCCAATGCCATCGACGCTCACCTCACCAAACCAAACTAAAGGCATGTCGGTATCATTACTACTACTTGAAGCACTACTTGTCTAATTAAAGAATAAATCCATACTTCCTTTGCTTCGGTGCCAAATATATGCATGTTTGGATCGATATGCTGTCATGTAAGGGAGCTTCTTATTGTATGATATGTTTGTGGTTTAGATATGTAACAAGTTATGTATTGTGTGCTACCTATAAAATATGATTTCCTAACTTCTTTCTACTTCTTTAAATATGTACGCTTATTAGGATTTTATGCAAGGGTTAAGGTGTATCGAAGCCTTTAAATTAAAAAAATAATTAAAAATTTTAATTTATTTTATACTCAATTAAATTTTTATATTTTGAAATTTTATCGATTTACATATTTGATTGATGTTAATTATTAAATTTAACAAAAAGTTTGCATCTCATATCATATCACAAAGTAATAAATTGATATTTTTAAAATTATATTAAATTTTAAATATTTTTTATCAAATTCATAATATACCATTGTTAAGACAACGACATAATTAACTAGGTATTGATAGGGAGTTGTGGGAAAATTAATTTTTCCTCACGCATAACCGACTCACAAACTCATTCTCTAATTAAGTAGATCACAAATTATTATTTTGATAACTCCTAAAGAAGATTGATGGTGACCTTTAGAACCAAACATTTTTAATCTTCATCACTATACACTTACATAAGGTAACTTTTTTGGTCTTCAAACATCAAAATATCAAGTTAAGACATTTACATATATATATTCACAATTCCATAAATCAAAGTAACAACTTGTGATACAATGCGATTACATAATTTAACCTTTTTAGTCTCAAAACATTAAAGTGCCAAGTTAAGAAATTTTCATACATATTCATACTTCCATTCACTAATGTAACAACTTACAAACTATCATCATCACTACACACTTGTATAAATTAATCTCTTTATTCCTCAAACATCAAAGTGTCAAGTTAAGACATTTTCATGTATATTCATACTTCCATCCATTAATATAACAATTTGCAGTAATCATCGTCATTATACACTTGCATAAGTTCACATTTTTGTCATTAAACATCAAAGTGTCAAATTAAAACATTTTCATACACAATAATACTTTTATCCATCAATGTACCAACTTGCAATAGTTCTTCTTCTTCTAAAATTGTATCATTCATCATTCAATTATCTTTTTATTACTAGTTTGTTCACTAAAGTTTAATTTTTTTAATTTAATTACTTGACTTCCAAATTACTCCTAATTTAATCACTCCAACTGGTCATACCGAATCCTATACACGCGATGGGCACAAAAATGAATTGGTTTCTTCTTGATCACCAGCAAGAAAAAAAATAAGTATTGTCTCCCAGAAAATGCAGTTTCATTAAGTTTTAACGATGAGATACTAAAATGAAACAAAAACTAAACGTTGTGTACGATTTTAAAATAAATGAAAGTTTAGTTATTAAAATAAAGGGTAAACTACATGTTTAGTACCTAAAGTATCACTTTTGTTCCGTTTTAGTACCTAAACATTCAATTTTTTCAAAATCTTACCTAACGTTTACTTTTTGTTTCATTTTAGTATCCCGTTGTTAACTTTTTATTTCATTTTAGTACCTAAATTTTTAACGGCAAGGTACTAAAATGAAACAAAAAGCAAACTTTAAGTATGGTTTTGAAAAAAATTGAAAGTTTAGGTACTAAAACATAACAAAAGTGATGGTTAGGTACTAAACATGTAGTTTACCATAAAATAAAATAGAACTAATAGTTTAAGTACGTGTAATTTACCCTAAAATTAAGTAAAATTGGATACTCTACTTCTCCCATAAAATAACACAAGGGGCAAAATTTCATCCAATTTCAAACACATGCATAATGTGAAACATCCAAATTTTCCGAACATAAGTCTGCCGAATACTACATTCTAATTATCTAGAAATGGCCAAAAACAAACGAACAACATGAATTACAAATATATATTAAAACAAATAACATGTACAAAATTTCATCAAATATTCCAAGTTACGAAACGCGATGAAGACATTCTAGCTGTCACTACAAGCGAAGCAATGTCAGAGATATCTAACATCCTCGATCATCAACGTGAATTAGGTATGTTAAGTTAAAAATGCTCCGTCTATGGTTACATTTTGTTAGAAAAAGAAATAAACAACCAGTTATTTTGTCCTTTGTGTGTGTTCCAATGAATCACGAGTCCTTTGAAAGCTTGTTAGGTGGAAAACACCCAACATGTCTCAAATACCACAACGCACCCTCAGCTGCATGATCGGCCGCCATTTTCTTCTTTGGCCGAGGGTCACTAAAGCACTCTAAAATTGTTTTCAACGATCCTTCTTGCATCTCAACAACGACTTTGAAATACGAGAGAACGTATGATGACAACAACACAAAGGAAAACATGATTTGAGAATGATGGCTTACATAAATAAAAAAAAATAACATCTACAAGAAAATGCCTAAAGGATTACTTTGTTGCTAGTATGAAATTGTGTTTATATACGCGAGTCTCATGTTTATGTATTTATAAACGGGCTGTAAAAGAATCAAACAAAAATATCATTACGTAAACTTAATCAGATAAGAAAGGAACCAACTACTATATTTAAGTTTCAATGATTTAAAACTCACTAAGTGGCTTTAGTGGTAGAAAGAAATATTGTTTTTCCTAAAGCATCCGAGTTCGAGCAGCTACGTTTGTCTGGTATGTGTGCGTTGTCAATAGAATAAAAAAATTTCTGAACAGATACTATCTTATGTCACCTTTCAACGGTTTAATTTCTTGACTCATGAAAGTGGAGCTGATGTTACTTACAATTTCATGTGGCAAGGGCCTTCCTCCTTGCAACACTCATAAAATGGATGCTTCCAATTGTTTGCAGCACATATCTCATGCAACTGTGATTTGGCTGAAGCCCTTTTTGGAGAATCTAACATCAAAATAAGATCATATTAGATTCCAGCAACCTTTTCTTTAGAAAAAAAAAAAGTTAACCTATATTTTTTAAAATGTTAATCTATTAATAAAAAATTATTATAAATAAATAAATTTATAATGTTGGTACATTTAATGAAAATATATAAAATTTAAAATAAATATAATTTAAAAAATTTGATATGATAAAATATAAAATTTTCAAACCCACAAAATATTTATCAATCATGTAATTATGTCTTGATCAAAATTTTCAATTTATAAATTGTAAAATAAACACGTTATAAGATAACAAACTAATTTTTTTTTTTTTGAAAAGGGTAGTTTTTTATGTTATTAATCGACAATATAACATACAAATCTAGACGAAAAACATGAGTCTCGTTAAAAAGCCTCCCTAGACCTATTTGGAGGAAAAATAGTGCACCATGCTTGTCAATACAACGATCCAACTATTTATTACACATATCATCAATGACACTGATTAACCCAGTAACACAGAACAAACAGGCATGAATAATTGATTTTAATCATAAATCATGCTTGGAATTGATTCTATAACCTCAAAAACATCAAAATCCTTCATCAATTTCACAAACCCTAAAATTTGAGATCTTTCAACGCAATCCAAATTAGCCAGCAATAATGGTACTAAATGATAGCGTTTTTCAAATAGAACAATTTTGTATTTCACGGTATGATCCAAAATCCAAAGAAAATTACTCAAAAACGAGAAATAAATTACTCAAAAACGAGATATAAGTTTTCTCTTACTTTTCTAGGGAGTACACAACCAAGGGGCTGAAAATGGCTAAGTTTTTCATGAAATTTCTAATGAATTTCATGTTAATTTTCCTTATATTAAAGCTTAAATGGATTAAAAATTTATTTAATGTGAAATGTCCATTTCACCATTAATGAAACTTGATATTTACAATAATACCAAGACACATAACCTTATCATCTTTCTAAAGTTAAAGATGAACAAAATATTTTACCCTTTTCCAATTTTACCAAGTAACTTTCCAACAATTGCAATCTTTCCACTTTGATCAAACGATCCAAATTAAACATGAAAGTAAGTTCTCAAATTCAATGGTCAATATTATTTTCCAGCATTTTAACATGTGAAAATAATATTTTTAAGACTAATTTATCATCTTTCAATTTTCTCGAAATTTCTTTCTGATCCAGTTTTTCAAGTTCTTACCGGATTTTAACTATTTTCTAGTTTCAACATAAATTATGGATCAAGAATGTGATTTCAATAAAATCTCACTCTAAAAAATAAACTATATATTTATGGAATAAAAATTATTTTTGAGAAAATTATCACTTAGGTCCCTAAACTTTTCCTATTTTTATACTTTGGCCACTAAACTTTTAAAACTTACATTTTGATCACTAACCAAAATTTGGGGTATTACACTAGCGCATCTGCTGCAGTTCTTCCCAATCATCTTCCTTCATCGATTCTGGCTTTTGAGGTCGTAGAGCCTTCAAAATCCCTTGTTGTGCCAACAAATCCATTACCCTCGTTTGTCATAATCCGAAATTACCATGACTGTTAAACTTCACCACTTCGATTTTCGCACCTGCAATAGCCATCTCAAACCTTGCTCTTGATACCAATTGTTGTGAAAATGGGCTAATTAACTTAGGAAATCAACAAGCAGTAAAAAAAATAAAGAACACAATATTTAATGAGGTTCGACAATGTGCCTATGTCTACGGGAGCGACGAGTAGTTGTTCTCTTTATCATTCACAATAATCCAAAATTAGATTACAATTACAGTGTATCATAGTAACCCAACATCTATCCTCCAACTGGTATATGAGTCATACCTAACACTAAGGTAGTTTCAAGACCAAATAAAATGAGTTGTTCAACTAAGTACACATGTATGTAGTGGTCCAAGTCATCTCAGCTATCATATTGAATACATCTTAATTAGATTGTAATTGCATAATTGATTCCTTGCTCAATATCCTCCACTAAAATATACTTGGGGCATCACTCATCATAGTCTACAAATTTACTAATATATATAAACGTGTCTCAAAAAAAAACTTTCATAATGCATTACTTGTGAATAAATCAAAATGCAGTTTTTTTTTATAAAAAAAGGAAAGTAGACAAAGTAATAAAAAAACCATAAGTCACCAACCAACTTAAATGCAAAGATAATAAGCGTGTATAAATGCTTAAAACAAATGATAATAAAATTATAGCCAAACCAATAAATTGTAAGGAGAACATTAATTTTCTAACCAAATGTCAATAATATAATATTATCTCACATGGTCCACCACAATTAAAATTAACTGAAAATATAAATTATGATTATCATTCAATCTTACTCTCAGTTACTTATGAATTGATATTTTCTCTAAAAATATCAATGTGAAACTGTCATCAAACAAGTCAATTTATTCTTAATTGATATCATCCTCCGGAATATCCTCGTCATCAGGTCTAAAATTCTTTGATGAAACCCTAAGATAATCGCACGTTTTACCAGGGCCTCTTAGGACAAAGATAGAAGATAATAACGCATCCACGTCTTCTACATCCTTCCCTAGTAATATCTACACCAATTTATTTATGTTCCAATAGACTTCAACCAATTGGCCCAGCTCTATCCTATAGAAGTCAAATACCTTACTCACAAAGTTGTGCACGGGAAGATGAAACTAATCCTGAAGCAAAAGGAGGAAGGTGAAACCACTCTGGATTCCCATCGCTTCTATCTCATTAGTCGCTCATGTTGAGAAATAAACGAGTATGTGTAATTTTCCTATAACCAGATTAGTGAGAATGCGAAATAAAAGCGGAAAAATAATACCCGAAATTGATAACGGAGTTCAGCCAATTTTGCTTACGTCTCCGGACTGCTGCAAATCTTTTACTAAGAGAGAAAATTTACAGGTGTTTACAAAACACTCACTACTCACAAGAAAACTCTCTAGTAATGGGAGAAAGAAATGATTTTTGGGATAATTTTGAAGCTAAATGAGATAGGGTATTTATAGTTGAAGCGTAGAGACTAATCTTTGAAAATACCCTAAAGTGCAATGACTAAAATGTAATTAATCATTTCTTAAATTAAAAAAAATGGGATGCTTAACTTTGAAAAATTAGCAGCCCCATTGAATTTCCTTGCCAGCCGCCCCACGTGATTTTTTTTACTTTCATCAATCTCCCACTTGAAGATTGATTTTAATCTGTCTTCACACCTCGATCGATGCAACAACATTTCTGGTCTTGTTATTCTAGCATGTCAACTGAAGCTGAACACAACTTCAGTTTGTCCGTAGTCACCGTCTTTGTCAACATGTCTGCCGGATTTTGAGATCCACTAATCTTGTCAAGTTTCAAAATCCCATCTTCCAGAAGAGACCGGATAAAATGATGTCGCAATTGTATGTGCTTCGTTCTGGAATGAAAAGACGAATTTATTGCTATATGGATAGCACTTTGACTGTCGCAATACAAAACATTGTTTTCTTGTTTCTTGTCTAACTCTTCCAAGAAACTTTGGAGCCAGACCATCTCCTTGCTGGCTTCCGTAACAGCGACATATTCTCTTCAATTGTGGAGAGAGCAACTATCTTATGTAGTTGAGAAACCCCAACTCACTGCAGTTTCTCCTAGAGTATAGACATACCCTGTAGTGCTTCTTCTGATGTCGACATTTCCGACTAAGTCAGTATCTACATAGCGTGTCAGTATTGTATCTCCACCTTTAAAACAAAGTGATTTGTTTGTAGTACCCCGCAGATATCTGAGGATCCATTTAACTGCTTCCTAGTGTACCTTGCCCAGATTATTCATGTACCTGCTAACAGTTCCCACTGCATGAGCAATATCTGGTCTGGTACAAACCAGGGCATACATCAGACTTCCAATTGCTGCGGCATACGGCACCTTCACCATGTGTGTACGTTCTTCCTCTGTCTTTGGTGACTGTTCTTTGGAAAGTCTGAAATAAACACCTAAAGGTGTACTTACTGGTTTAGCATCTTGCATGTTGAACTTGGAGAGTACTTTTTTGGTGTACTCAGCCTGTGATAACATCAAAGTCCCCGAATTTGTGTCTCTCTTGATCCTCATCCCAAGAATCTACTTTGCAGCGCCCAGATCCTTCATAGCAAACTGTTTCGATAATTTTTGCTTCAAGTTTATAATTTCTTGCATATCTGAGCTTGCAACGAGCATGTCATCAACGTACAATAATAAAATAATGAAGCTGTTTTCAAACCTCTTGATGTAGCAACAATGATCTGCTTGGCATCTGTTAAAACCACTGCTACTCATAAAACTATCGAACTTCTTGTACCACTGTCTAGGAGCTTGTTTTAAACCATACAAGCTCTTCTTCAACCTGCTTACCAGGTTTTTCTTGCCTGCCTCTATGAAGCCTTCTAGCTGCTTCATATAGATTTCTTCCTCCAAATCACCATGAAGGAAAGTGTAACACCCTCAACCCATACCCGACCCGGATACGAGTCCAGGATGTCACATTGACTAAACAAAACAATACTTAAAAAACCGATAAAACATTCGAACTTATTTTACTAAAATACAATACTATACATATATTAATACAAGTTTATCAAAATAATCAGAGCATACATCACTTGACACTTTGATTACATGCCAACATTCATTTGCATAACAAAAGGACCTACTGCTCAAGTTGCCTCTGATATGATAGTTGCAGGAGTAATGTTATCCAGCTGCTTAACCTTGATCGTCTACTTTCTTGGATCCTACGTGTGAAACACTCACACGCTAAGTCATTGACTTAGTGAGGCAATATAATAATAATGATAACAAAGAAATGTAATGGAAATGCCATAATTAAATGAAATGAGACGAAATCAAATGCTTAACCATGCAGTTTATATCACCATGTTCTTTATCTGTAAGCATAATATATTAACATTCATGAATTCATATTAGTAAGATTATTGGCCCATGATACCATATTGAGAACCTAAGGTATGTG